GAATGTGGCTCAAATAATAATTGATTGAAGCCACTTTATTGGTTAACTTTCCAAAATACTGCTTACACATCAATTACACTACCAGTATCAAGTCCAGTACTTATATCAAATTAACTATATCAAACTCACTGTTTTAGACATTTATGATTACACTTTCAAAGGAAGAGAATCAGAACAACCTAATGAGATTAAAGTGATGCTCAAAGTAGCCAAAAAAGCAATTTTATTACTGCTGTTTTATAAAGGGTCATGACTACTAAATTTATAGGTTGTGAATTAACAGGTTACCATATAGGTTCCAGTGGTTAAAATATGTTCTTATTCTAAAGACCATCAATTTCAAAGTAGCTAAAAAAGCAATTTTACTGCTGCTGTTTTATAAACGGTCATGACTACTAGATTTATAGGTTGTGAATTATCAGGGTTACCATGTAGGTTTCAATGGTTAAAATATGTTCTTATTCTAAATACCATCAATTTCATTAGCCAATACTAGTCAGAGAAACACAACAAAGATTATGTAGTAAACAAAAGTACAGAAAAGAAGAAATCAATGAAGATAAAAACCTGCAAATGAAGATGTTTTCTTTTCAAAAAATGCACACAAATATTTATGTTAACACTATCTAATTTGCAAAAATCAGTATAGCCACTCCTGAATTATGAGGTGACATACCTATGCCCACCACAGTAAAATACTAATGTTTATTACTGAAACAGATCTGATGAAACTGGGAGTTGTTGTTAGTCCTATCTTTTACACAATTCATAATTTATTGTAAACATTGTTTAGAGTGTCATACATACAAACAACTTCATGTTGTGTTTATATTAATGAAGCCAATTTAATGTCATTATAAACAGAGGACTTTGTGGTGTGTTTGTACTTATACTAATGAGACCAATTTAACTTAATTACAAGCAGAGAACTTCATGCTGTGTTTATACCCATACTAATGAGGTCAATCTAATATAACTTAAATCTAATATTACAAAACAACAACGAATTTATATGGATAAGAGTTTCAACTCTTTCACATGCCCTCTTCAATACAACATTTGTTCATTCCATAACATTGGATTAAACTTTATTTTAGATTACTTTACACATTATTGTGTAGTTACCTACTATGAGGCCCATTCAACTTCATTACAAACAGAGAGCTTGATGTCATGTTTAAACTTATACTAATGAGCAGTGCCGGATTTACCTATAGGCTTGGCAGGCTGAAGCCTAGGGCCTCAAAATCTAGGGGGAGTGTGTAATATTTTTGACGCTATAATAGGCCTTTCTTACACATGCTGTCATAACGCACTCTAGTCTCTAATCAACCCTTAAGTAATTTTTCCTTGCACTCCATTTCAGAATAATACTGTCTTAAGCCAATAACTCGACACTAGCATTGACTTCTGTATTGATTTTGTCCTTCCAGGAAAGGAGTGAGATAGATAAGTTGAAAACACAGCTGTGCAAGTATCTGCAGAGCCGCAGATGACGTTGCCGTTTTCATCAGTAAGGTTGGTGATAAAACTACGCTGATTTGTAGCGTCATTGTTAACGATAGGAAAAAGCATACTCGTTTTGTATATGGTTATCAAGTGTAGGAATCTTTTAGCTGCAATAGACTGGAACAGGGTATTTATAAATAAAAGCTGTATTGAAATGTGGGAAATATTTAAGTGTAAATTAGATAAAATTCAGAGAGAGTGTATTCCGTACAAATCTATTCGTAAAAATAAAGAAAGTAAGCCCTTATGGTGGAATAGAAATATAAGCAGATTAATTAATATTAAAAAGAAAAAACATAAAATACAAAGACAGACTAAAAGGGAAAAGGATGGAATTGCTTATAAAATTGTAAGGAATGAGTTAAATAGGATGATACGGAAAAGTAAAAGGGAAAGAGAAATTAGATTAGCGATGAAGAAAATTAAAAATCCAAAATAATTCTTTAAGTACTATAAAGTAAACAACAAAATGAAAAACAGTATAGGACCTTTAAAAATAGGCGACAGGAGACTTGAAAATAATAGTGAGATAGTCGAAGCTTTAAATAATCATTTTGGTTCAGTCTTCACTTCAGAAAGAGCAAATTCTCCTCATTTGGGAAATACAACTAAATAGTAAACATGACAGGCTTTTCTGGTCCTTAATTGTAGCATATTAATAACTGCTTAGTTACACAATTGTTAAATGTATATGTATGTACGTGCATATATGTATGATGTATGTATATATATGTGTATATGTATGATGTATGTATATATATATGTATATGTATGATGTATGTATATATATATATATGTATGTATATGTATGATGTATGTATATATATATGTATATGTATGATGTATGTATATATATATGTATATGTATGATGTATGTATATATATATATGTATATGTATGATGTATGTGTATATGTAAAAATATGATTGTATATGTATAGATGTATATATGAATATGCATGCATGTATGTATGTGTATATGCGTATATATTGGTTACATAGTTGAATGAAATAATATTAAGGTAGACATGGCCACTTGGCCGCAAACTGTAAATATTCTGCATGAAATGACTTGGCAGTTGCCTGGTGAAGGGATGGGAGTAGATAGATGGATGGCCTGTTCAGTGTGAATATATGCGTGTGGTTGTTTTCAAACTTGTTAATTTTTAAAGCTTTTATTGTTATTATCTCATTTTATTTCCTCAATACTGTTCATTTTCTTGATTTTTTGTATTCTCTCATTTCAATTCATAT